AGAAGAAGAAGAAGAAGAAGAAGAAGAAGAAGAAGAAGAAGAAGAAGTTGTTAACTGGGCATAGCATTGGCTTTTGAAACCTGTTGACACACCTCCTACAACAAGGTCACACTTATCAATACTTCCCAAACAGCTCCACCAAATGGGACCAAGAATTCAAATATATGAGCTTATTCAAGCAATCACAGGAGCCTCTTATTTTTTCCAAGAAAGTTTTTTTTATTTGTTCTGATATTTTACATTTAAATCCTCATGAATGTGAGTTTTATTTTTCTATGGAGTTTAATATGATAGTTCACTTACTGTAAAGTATATGTTAGAGTTAGAACTCGATGACTCCAGAGTCATACTCACACATGTCCATGGCATTCTCTCATTCTCTTATTTTGTTTATTCATATATATGATTATATATTCAAATATATATTTATTCTGTACTTCAGCATCTATTTTTTTTTTTTTGCCAAAAGGGTCAGATGTAAATTTAAAAATGTATAACTTTGTCACTAGGACAATGATTATAAGAGCATATCCGTCTAAACATAGTCATTCAATCATAAGAAAATAGCTTCAGTCTTGTTCTCATAGAAGGGGTGTCTGAGAGAGAGAGAGGGAAGAGAGAGAGAAAGAGAGAGAGAGAGAGAGAGAGAGAGAGAGATTCTTTTGTGGACAAAAATGATCAGGTTTTATTTTTCAGGTTTTATTTGTATGAGTCAGTTCTTTGTCCCTGATATTTCTTTGCAGTGACTAGGGATGAACTTAATTAGGTCAGTCATACAGAATGTCAGCAGCTAGTGTATCTGGAGAGGTCAAACCTGGTCTCTTGTGCTCTACTGTGATGGTTCAGAGTATGAGAAATTAGAGGGATAAGGCTACTCCAGAAACCTCTAATTTAGATTTAAAGATTAGAGGGAAAAGGGAGGAGCTGGATTCAAGCTGTGTGTATATGAACATAAACAAGAAAAAATTGAGACTTGAAAAGGCACATGTCATGCAACAAAAACTGTAGCAACAGAGGTCTATTTGGTTTTGAATACCTTATGAATATGAGCATTTTTCTTACTCATTCTGTCTTAGAGAAACTTCATTGTAAGTAAAACACAAGAATGGGTTCCTTAGGTGAGTGATTCATTGAGAGAGTAGTTTATGAGAAAACTGCCATTGGCTCTGAGGGAAACTGAGCCTTATTCTTGATTCTAAATAGGTTTCTAGAGAATGAATAGCACCCCAGAAGTTCTTCAGCTCAGGGGCAAGGGGCTGGGCACCTCTACCAGCATGTCAGTCAGTCATTGGAAGATAAGCTGTGGTTCTCCCATAGGCTAAGGTTGGCAGTCATAGGAATGGTTGCAGAGTCTTGGTAGAGAAGAGGAACCACTGGATGGCCCTGAAACCGTATATGTACCAGTAACTTTCTATGAATTGAGTAGGCTGTAACAGAAATTAGAGAAACAGAGACCATGAATTTGAGAGAGAGCAAAGAGGGTGTGCATGGGAAGGGTAAATATATGGGTAACTTATGATGTAACTATATTTTAGTTTCAAAAACATTTTTTTTAAATCCATGTCTTGCTTTGAGTTTCAGATGCTTGTTTGTTAATCAAAGGTGTTTACAATAGTCCTTACCTCTTTGGAATGTAGAAAGTGTGTAGGTAGAGCCAAAATGGTAACTTTGGGATACTAAAGCAAAAAGGTGGCAGGGGGATTCTGGGTGATAACTCTGAATCTTGTTTACTTAAGATATGTTTTTATTTGTTAGTATTGCTCCATACATCAAAGAGTTGGGCTAACTTTAAGTTGGTAGGATCCATGACTTGGAAGTTTAGAGTAGGAGATATTAGTTGCCTACTGCTGATACAGCAAATTACTATGAACTTACTTGCTTAAAACAACACAAGAAATGTGACTCAAGTCTCAGTGGCCTAAAAGAAAGGTGTCAGCATGGCTGTCTCCTTTGTAGAGGGTACTAGGGAAGAGTCTGGCTCCTGCATTTTCTGAATTTTTGAGACTATACATTATGGCCCCTTTTGTGGTGATTTAAATAAAATGGCTCCAATAGGCTCATAAAGACTGGTACTATTCAAACATATGACCTTCTTGGAATGGTCTTTTTGGAGGAAGTGTCACTGGGGTATAGGCTTTGATATTTCAGAATTTCAATCCTGGCCAATCTCTCTCTCTCTCCCTGCTGCCTGCTGATTTGGATATGGAACTCTCAGCACCTTCTCCAGCACCATGACTATTTGCATGCCACTATGCTTCTCACCATGATGATAATGGACTAAACCTTTGAACTGTAAACAAGCCCCCCAGTTAAATGTTTTTTCTTTATAAGAGTCGCTGTGGTCATAGTCTCTTGTCACAGCAATAAAACAGTAACCAAGACACCTTCCTTCTTCAAAGCCAACAATGGCAAGTGTACCACACTGATATGTTCTTGTCTTTCTTTTCCTATTCTAAGAACACTTATGATTATATTTGAGCCTACCTAGACATCCCAGGATAAGTCTCAGTCTCTCTCCCTCTCCCTTTCCAACCCCCTGAATATCCTCAACTTAATCACATCTTAACAATCACTTTTGCCATTATAGGGTAACTTATCCATGAAGGCCTGGGGATTTTGATGTAGATATCTTTAAGAAGCCATTAGTCTGCCTATTATGCTGGAGTTGGCAAACCCTTAAGCTAGATGGTAAATACTATACTTCTCCTGTAGCAAGAAAGGAAACACAGAGCGTGTATGTTAGTGGGCCTGGTTGTAATCCAATCAAAGTTGACTATATAGATACTGATATTTGAATTTTATATAATTTCTATGTGCCGCAAGATATGGTTCTTTTGATTTTCCTTCAGTCACTGACAAGTGTAAAATCCTGTCTAGACAAAAGGAAATGGCAGGTTAGCTTTGGCTTGTGGAACATATTAACTTAGATTATTTCCAATATAGCTCATTTATAGTTTTAAGAAACAGTTGAGAAGAATGTCTCCCCATGCTTCACTGTGTGCCATATGTATTTTAAACCTTGACCTTGTAGTCTATTTTACTTCAATTTCATTTTTGTGCCCCAGTAGAACAATTTCCCTTTCAATGTTTCATAGAAATAGCTGAAGATAAAATGATCATGGTTAGTTCTGAAATTCTGCTCCTGTGTGGATGGCACAGGGACAATGAGAAAAAAATACCCAAATTATGTGAGCTAAACAGAGAAAGTCATATGGATACTGACTTTTTTTTCTATTAAAGCAGAGCCACTGAGAATATTGCTATCATTTTATTGGAGGTGGCTCAATTGGTGAGAACAAAGAGGTGGGCAAGAAAGCAATGCAGAGAGTAGTAAGATAAAAATGGCTACATTCAGAAGCACCTTGCTGGGGCTAGTCTGCCATCTCCCAACACAAGTCTACTTCTGACTTATTGGATGTAATTTTCTCTTTAAAATATGACATGCTCGTTTCCTATCATATATACATAGCTTTGCTGATCGTGGAAAACTTCCTTTTTTCCTTTCTCTTAGGTGAAGGGGAAGAGGACTCTGGGAGAAAATATTGCTGATAATGGAGGTCTGCGAGAAGCCTTTAGGGTACTCATCACCATTACATTTCCTGGGATTTAAAACTGGTGAAAGCATGCATGGGTGCACCTCAGCGTAGAGCACCAACATGGTGTTGAAGGCTGATGTTTTGGATTCTTTATAATACAGTTGTATTTCTACATGGACTTTGTTATAGCCTAACAGAGAGAGCTGCACTGTTTTCTTTCTGGAGTATTAAGTCATTTTAATTAATAACAGGTATTAAGAATTGTATATCTAAAATAGGGTTTTCAGAAGTATACTCAGAATCATATTAAAGTATGTCACAGGGCTCTCCTGGGGGCTAAGTTCATGTGAATTTTCTTGAGGTAGAGATTTTTCTTTATCCTTTCTTATCATTGTATCATAAAGCCTTATGGTTCTAACTTATGACTAAGGCTATGCATTCTCATATATTAGGCCAGTGGAAGTCCACAAGAATATTTGCATCATCTCTCAAGTGTGTGGTTAAGAAACAAACATAACAATAACATAGAAAGTTTTAAATAAAATCGAATAGATTCACTTTAAAGACCAGGTTATGATTCTAAGGTGTTATCTTTTTTTTTATATTCTAGTTAAAACATTTTATTTTATTAAATGATGGTGAAAAGATACATTTTGTTGTTAGTAAAATAAAAAATATAGTATGTTGACCCCACTCAAAATTATTGCTAATGTAGTTGTGCATGGTGTTAATTTTTTTTCTTCTTTTTTTTTTTTTTTGAGACAGAGTGTCTCTGTGTGTAGCCTTGGCTGTCCTGGATTCGCTTTGTAGACTAGGCTGTAGTCTGTCCTGGGAATTCACAGAGATCTGCCTGCCTCTGCCTCCTTGAGTGCTGGGATTACAGGTGTGAGCTACCATGCAGGCAAAAACACCTTTTAAAAGAGCTATTTAGTGTCTGATCACTGCCGCCTTATTGATTTGATACACAGAGAGTGTAAGGTTCCTTTTGTTCGTTTTTTTTTTTTTTTTTTTTTTTGAGACAGTCTCACTCTGTAGTTCAGGATGATCTCAAGCTCATGGAAATGCCCCTGCCATAGCCTGCTAAATACTGGGATGACAGACGTGCACCACAATGCCTGACTAGCAGCATAAGCTGTAATGTTCTTATGTAGATGCACCTGCTTCACTGCTTCAATATTAGGTGAAATGGTACTGGGTTGCTTTCTCAGGTGCTGGTTTTCTTAAAGGAAAACTTGATCCCATGCCTTTTATGCATGGTGTATGTATTTTATAACTTTGTGTTGAATATGTAAAGAGATAAACTATTGTTGTTGAAGATCACCTGTTCTGCTTCTGTCACTAGGCTTACAGGAAATGGATAAATGATAGAAGACAGGGAGTTGAAGAGCCTCTTCTACCAGGCATCACCTTCACCAACAACCAGCTCTTCTTCCTGAGTTATGCTCATGTGAGTAAACTGAGAAAAAGGCATCAATGATGAAATTGTAGGCCATTATCTTGTGCCCTTAGTCCAAATTTTGGAAGAAAAATTTACTGGTATGACTTAGACTGTAGCCAACATTTAATCTCTGTCAGTACTAGGTTAGGTATAAAAATAAGTACCAAAATATGCATATCCCCAAAATAGTATTTCCTAGTTGGAATGGGTAAACAAGGCCAAATAAGGGCCTGCGATTTTTTTTTTAATTTATAAGTATTAAATATTGTTTTGATTGAAAAAACTATGCCCTGTCACACAATATCTGTGGTTAGGTTTGTGTTACAATGGCAGAGTTGAATAGTTGAAACATGCACCTGTGATTTTCAAAGGTGCAAATACTTATCATCAATCTCTTTCTGAGCTCTGATCTGGAGAAAAAAAATGCAAGCGTTATCTGTTCTTACTACTTACATTTTAGACCATAATAACAACTCTTTGTAAATGGAATAAACTAATGGAGAGAGATGCTCTAATTAACATGTTATGATTTCTTTATATACTACATTTTTGTCAAACTGAAGAAATCTGGGTGTAAAGGAATAATCCTGTTTTTAAAAATCAGCATTGATAAATTTTTTCTTTAAGCACCTACCCATCATTCAGAACAAAGAGATTTTCACTCTTTTATACATTTGAGGAAATGTTTATATGGAACATATTATTTTCTAACTTGGAAAGTTAGTAGAGAACAGTAACACAATAATGTAACAACCATAATGTATTTTTACATGACTTATTAAACATAGTAAATACTATATAATAATGTAAGCAAAGTATACATGAAAAAATAACCTAAGACATAGAGTAAAACTGAACATGAAAAATAAGCACTGCCTTAGGGTTTGTATTGCTGTAAAAAGACACCATGACCATGGTAACTCTTATAAAAGAAAACATTTAATTGAGGATGGCTTGCAAATTGAGAGGTTTAGTCTATTATCACCATGGCAGGAAACATGGCATTATGCAGGCAGACATCATACTGGAGAAGGGACTGAGAGAGCTACCTCTGCATCAGCAGGCAGCAGGAAGTAAACTTCCTTGAGCATCTGATACATCAAAGCCAGCCCCAACACTGACATGCTTCTTCCAGCAAGGCCACACCCACCTCCAATAAGACCACACCTCCTAATAGTGCCATTTCCTCTGGACCCTGTGTTTGAATTTGGGAGCCAACCCCTATTCAAACTACCACAGGCTACCATGGGCTAGCTTCTGAGGAAATTAAGGAACCACATTACAAAAATATTTTTAAAACGGCATTCATAAATATTATGAGAGAAGCCAATCGTGGTGCTTGCACACCTTTAATCCCAGCACTCGTGAGGGAGGGCAGGTGACTGTCAATTTGAGGCCAGCCTGGTCTACAAAGTGGGGTCCAGGACAGCCATGGCTGTTACACAAAGAAACTCTCTCTTGAAAAAAAGAAAAAAAAAATATATATATATATATATATTGTGAGAGATGGTTTATCATTATCAAAATAATAGTAAGCAGTAACTCGTATTTGCTACTTTTGTGGGTTTTTTTTTCTATCCTCCAATCTTCTCTACCCTTATTAACCCCCTAACACTAAATAGGAGAGAAAAAAAAAGGATAGAAGAGAAAGGGGGCAAAATTGTTAGATTCCTTCCTGCTGACTAATCAGCATTGAGTTCAGGGAAGTTTGATCTTCGCAGCAGGATATCTAATTTCTTCTTCTCGTTTCTTTGCATATGAATACTTGACAAACAGCAACCAACAGCAGCCAGCCACCAACCAGCCCACAACAACAACTTTGCCTCTTGGGATCCTAGCATTTATATATCCACTCAAAATTCCCAGAATTCCAAACATCACACACTCACAGAAACTATGTGCAGCTGGCAAAACCAGATACTTGCTAGAGCATGAGGCAAATCATAGTCACCTGCTGTGAAGCAGCCTCTTATCCCCACACCTGGGATTAAAAGGAGACTATATCCCCATAACATTTTTTTTCTTAAAGAAACCACAATTACACAATTTTTACTACAGTAAGCCAATACCTTTCTTGCCTCTCTATAACTATAGTTGCTATGACCTGCTAATTTGTCTCTCATGCATTTTTTCATGAATTTTTATCCTTTTGGTTCTTTCAGTCTCTATTTCTACTTATTTAATAGACATTAATAGCTTATAAAATAACTATTCTTTACTTTCTTCCCTTTCCTATATAATTCAGCCAGATAAATACTTCAAAAAATATGGTTTTATTTCTCTGTTCCATGTTTAAACATAGTTATAACATGCAGGCCTGCTGAACAGTACTTCAGAAATCTGACATTAGCCTTTCTTTCCCCTGGATACTTACGCGCTCATGCTCACCCAAGCTGAATGCCTTGCTCATCTCTCAATCATTTTTTAAAATTTCCTTTTCCATTTCAAATGCTTTTATATATTCATGTATCCTAGAGGTAATCATACTTCAAGATTATATCATGTTTCAAGAAATATTTCAAACCAATATTAAGTAGGTTATCAGAAACAAACAACACAGTGGAAGTATATTTTTTGTTCTTGCTCCATGCCCAGCATGTGTTATTAGTGGGCCTCTGACCATAGTTTTTGCTTAAGGAATTGTCTTTTGGAGTATTTTATCTTGGCATGTGCTTTCATGGACACCAAACAGCACTAAAGAAATATGAGGATATATGTATTGATCTTTTTTTTTTTTTCTCTCTTAAGGCAGGTTTTTTTTTTCTTTTTTTTTGAATTTTATTTTTTTCTTATGAGTTACATTTTATTAACTCTGTATCCCAGCCGTGTCCCGATCCCTCATTCCCTCCCAGTCCCTCCCTCCCTCCCTCCCTCATCTCCACCATGCCCCTTGCCAAGTCCACTGATAGGGGGGACCTCCTCCCCATTCATCTGATCCTGTTTTATCAGGTATCTTCAGGACTGGCTGCAAAGCTCTCCTCTGTGGCCTAACAGGACTGCTCCTCCCCTGGGGGGTGGGGAAGCCAAAGAGCCATTCATTGTTTGACTGTATGTATATGTTAGTGTATGTGTGTTTGTGGTATGTGTAGATGTATGCATGTGTGAATGGAGGCCAGAAGTTGATGTCCAGTGTCTTTTCTTTAATGCTTTTAATCTTTATTTTTTTAATGTGTGGTCTTTTACTAAACCTAAAACTCATCAATTTAGCTAAGCTGTCTGGCCAATGAACTCCACTTTTCTAGACCACCTCCCTAACACTGTGCCCCAGCTCTGGTGTTATAGGTATATATCATCATGCCCAGCTTTTTTTTTTTTTTGTTTAAGACAGGGTTTCTCTGTGTAACCTTGGCTGTCCTGGACTTGCTTTGTAGACCAGGCTGGCCTAGAAATCACAGAGATCCTCTGACTTTGCCTACCAAATGCTGGGATTAAAGGCTCTTTGATCACCAACTCCTGAGGGGAGGGGGCAGACTTACCAGGCCACAGAGGAAGACAATGCAGACAGTCCTCATGAGACTTAATAGGCTAGGGTCAGATGGAAGGGGAGGAGGACCTCCCCTATCAGTGGACTGGGGAAGGGGCATGGGAGGAGAAGAGGGAGGAAGGACGGGATTGGGAATGGATGAAGGAAGTAGCTACAGCTGGGATACAAATTGAATAAATTGTAATAAATAAAAGAAATTAAAAAGGCATGTACCACCATACCTGGCTATGCCCAGCCTTTTAAATGTGAGTTTTAGGGATCTGAACTCAGGTCTTTACAATTACACCAGGTACATTACAGATTGAGTCATCTACATAGCCCCATTATCTCTTAGTGCAGCATATTAAATTGATTCTAAGATTATTAAAATTGTTGCCAAGTTTTTTTAAACTTTTGTCAGGAAATGGAATATATGACTTCTAATATTTATCAGTAACCTTACTGATTATACTAAACCATGATATGCTTTATGTATTTTTTCATTAAAATGTATATGGTTAAATTTTATAAAGGTTATTTAAAAATTAAATTAGTAATATGAATACATTCATCAATTTCTGGGCACATGTAATTCTCTTGATTTAAATCATTTGCCTAGATGCCTTCCTAATTTACTCAAATTGTGGAATTCACATTGATAAAGCCTCCTGCTCTGGGAACTTGAATAATAGATGTTGCTGTTGCTCAAAGTTTTATCTGATCCACTAAAATTTCTTGCTATCTATTAATTCCAAAATTATTGTTCAGTACAAGTAGGAAGTGTATAATTGAAGTATAAGCATATTTACTGGGGTGTTGGTATAATGCTCTTGTGGAATGTATACAATTTACCCTTATTCATTAAAATTCTGATTTTTCTACTCTTCTATCTGGTTTCAGTCATTGCATTGTGACATTGCATTGTCTCAAATTGTGCAATCATGCCACCATTAGCTCTCTGTATGGTCAATAAAACAACCAGCCAATGCTGAGCAATGGAGAGAATAGGGTGGGACATCCTGGTCCAGAGGGGAGGAGAAAGAAGCAAGTGGGAGGAGTTCAGGAAGAGAGATTGGAAAGGAGAGGACTCAGAAACACCAGGAGAGATGAACCAGATATAAGACATGACTAAAAAGCAAGTATTATGTGGTAAATCTGAATGGGAGGAAGCTATGTGAGCTTGGAGGTTTAGAATGGAGTAATCATTGCCCAGCATTGTGCCCTAGGTTAACTAAATACAACCTAATTTCTGTGTGGTGATTTGGATATACAGCTGGTTTAGGAATAACCATTGTTTAACTAAGAGATAAATCAATAATAAATATTAATAATCATCAAAACTGGGGTGTCTTTATCTTTTAGGTGAGGTGCAATTCCTATAGACCAGAAGCTGCCAGAGAACAAGTCCAAATTGGTGCTCACAGTCCTCCACAATTTAGGTAAATGAGCAAATGGGTGACACCAGGTTTTAACTGTGCATCCCGCCATTCTGTGCCCCCAGCCATACCATTGTGCTGCCAGATGGGGCATATGAAGAAAAGCCTACACAGTGAAGTACATAATATCCATTTTGTAGACTACATGATCTAGCCAAACAAAACCGAAGCATCTCTTTTTTCATTGTAGTAAGCTGGTCTTCTCAGTGTCTTTTCAACTAAATTTCTGCTTGGTATTGCATCAAGAGACTGGTGAGGCTTCAAATTTTGGATTGTAATTGCAAGCCAAATTCCAGTTTTAAGATTCAATTTCAAGTATAGAATTAGAATTTCTTTGGGGCCAGAGAGATGGTTCAATGGCTAAGAGAATTGCTGTCCCTGTAGAAGATTCAAGTTCAGTTTCCAGTACACACAAGATGGCTCACAACTACCTGGAATACAAGGACATGTGAGTTCTTCTTCCAGTCTCCAAGACATGGTGCACATCACATGCAGTCAAACATTCATCCATATATAATAAAAAGTATTATGTGTATAAATGCATAAAATTAAAACTACTTTTGGAAAGCAATAGTCCATAGATGCTATTAGTACATCAGAATACTACTCAATAACGGGAATGTTGAATTGGTCCAACCATCTATTTTGGCAGGGAGGTTTGGGCAAAAGAAAAAATTTAAAATATATATATATTTTGTTTATCTCAGAGGAGGATGTGATCTCAGGTACTATTCTGCTTTTAGGCTTCTAGAACTCTGGTTTATTCTGGTCTGTTTTTTTTGTTTGTTTGTTTAAGAGTATTCTATGTGATATTTCTTGGTTCTTGCCACCATACACTGTGAGTTAACAAACATAAACAAATGCTTCCTTTCTGAAGACAAAGTAAGATGTATGGTGATCTTTAGCAATTATAATTCATATCTGGAGTCAGAGACATTGCATTTTGGTTTTCATCTTCTTACACCCTTTGAAACAATTGCTTATATATATGAAGGGGAAATGATTAACAACCGTAATTTTCAGAATGTATAAAATATTAAATAAAAACAAAATTAAGGTTGATATTACTTATCCTTGACTAATATGACTTGAAAGAAATTTCCTACAGCGGAGGACAGTTAATTATACAGAGAAATCCAAGAAGCCATGGTAATTTATAGTTATTTTTTTGCTTAAAACATATACCTGGATATTTTTATGCTTAATATTTAAATGAAACCATTAGCATATCATAATAAAGTCATCCAGGATTTCCTCTATATTTTAAAATCATATTCCTAAAACCTTGTCTTAGAAATGCTTCAAATGTGACTATAAATTACCCAGTAGCATAAAAATCTAATCACTGTGTTGGAAATTCTCCCCCACTGGGCTGAACTGTCATGAAGGCTGACAGTTGCTAATGGACTACAATGTGCTCCCACCGACAAATAGAGCAGATGAAATCACACAGTAGATTAATTACTCAACAGATAAGTTTTAGAAACTAATTTTACTAACTACTTCCCTGAAATGTTGAAATTTTTACTAATAATTTACAGAGTATGCTTACTGTTATCATCTATGTTCTGTCTTTATCACTTGCCTAAGGTGAATCACACTATGGTATGTGAATCCCTACCCTCACATGCCAAAAAACCCAAGAGGTTATGGGGATTTGTCACATACAGGCTATTTCATTCATTCAAATGCCCAGAGGTAAGAAAGTCTTTAGGAAAGAAATAGTGACTGAGAATATGGAGTTTTTAGTGAACCCTTTGAATGTTCAGTTGAGTAAAAAAATAATGATGGAGATTTTTGCATGACTTGTTACTGGTATCTGCAGTAAGCATAGCTTTTGAGTGCAGAGAAAAATCACACAATGGAAACACCACTTGCAAAAGGCATTTGCAATCAAAGTGGTGAGAAGAACTGCAGTCTCTAATGCAGTCAAGAACTTGTGAATGTACCAGATTCTGAAGGTAAAGTCTGGTGCTGAATGACTCATCTGTAAACAGCTGGTTACAGATTCTGTCCATTAGATGATTCTTACATTAACCAAATTCTAGGTAGATATAAGCATCCAAATTAATAGGACTTTAGAGAAAGTATTTTAGAGAATGATTTTTTTAAAAAAAAAAACTAATTGGAAATGCAGCAAGAGGGATGACTATTACAATATTATATTGAGAGAGAAAGAAGTCAAAGACAAATTATATGTAGTTGATATTCCATTCATGTCAAGTTCAAAAGTGTGTGGTGATATCTTGACAAATGATGCAGTAGTTATTTTGGGAGGTCTTATCAGGGGAGACAAGGAAAACTTTGGAATGCTTGATCACAGAATGATAGTAACAGGCACATATGTAAAACATAGTTTCTTTACATTTATGATTTGTATCCTTTGTGCCAACTATGTAAGTCTTAGAAACTAATTTCATTTTACTGAAAAGTTGGATTTTTTTTTTGCTCATAATTTACAGAGAATAGTTACTGATTATCAGCTGTAGTCTATCTTTAAAACTTTTCAGAACTAAGTTTTTCAAAAGCTAGAAAAAAAAAGTCTTGGAGATAATCCAGTTGTACAGGAATTTGAAGACTTTCAGAAGAGTACTGTCTAGGTTTGATGAAATGTTGGTTTTCATTTTCGATGACATTGATTTCTTTTCTTAATTATGTGAGCTTTAGTTGTCTTCCTCGTAAAAATGAATGGATTTGTAGCAATGAACTGTTTTATCCAGAACATATGGATGTATAGGCATTGAATGACATGTACTTAATCATTTTCTTTTTAATTTTTTTTCTTTTCAGGGTCAATGGTGCAGTTAGCAACTTTGAAGAATTTCAGAAAGCTTTTAACTGTCCACTGAATGCCACAATGAACAGAGGAGTTAATTCCTGTCGACTCTGGTAGCTGGAGTGCTGGTTTCTGCCCTCCTGGCAGAACTGAAGATTGCCAGTAGAGGTGGCACTAATGTCTTCAGCACCTCTTACTTTCTGCCTATATTTTGTTAAAGACTTTTATTTTTAATGCATTTTCATTATTTGGGTAGATGACTTTCTTAGATCTAAACAGTATCTGTTCAAAGTCATTGGGTTTATAAAAGGGATTCAAGAACTGAACCAAATACATTTCTTTTTTTTTATTTTTTTAATTTTATTTTTTTATCAGTTACATTTTATTAACTCTGTATCCCAGCTGTACCAAATACATTTCTTTAGAAAGCCAAACCAATGAGAACAAGTGGCAAGTCTACTTGGTTAAACTGATCTCAGCAGACATCCCTATTATCCATTTCTGTTAGCTACAGCTAGGTGGTACATAGCATTTCAACCTATAGCTTTTCAGGGAAGATGTGTGCCCTGTGGTGTCTAATTATTACAAGATATTTCTTAATTCTAAGGTAGTTGAATCATAAGTTTGTTGGATCTCTGTTTTATAAATTCTGATAAAGTTTTTCCATTCAGTTTTGGAATCTATTGGAAAATTTTATCTCAGAACTTACAGCTTATGTAACTAACTGCCCTGCTTAAGTAAACGTGAACAAAGATGGCATAAAGCCCAGTAGGTAAAGGATTTGGGTTTATCAATTAGGGGAGGAAAGAATGCATTTTTAATTGCCAGCAGTATTAAAAAATAATAACAATAACTAGTCACACAACAACAAAGATACTAGAAATGAAATATCCAAACTTTAATCTAGTCCCCGGACCTCAGTGAGCATCAGTCTGGTGGATAAGAATCATGGAACAGTTCCTGTTTTGTTTTGTTCTGCTCAGATGTGTGTATCTCCTAACTCTGAACTGAGCAGACATCCTGTTTCCATGTCAGCAACATATGGCTTTAATTTCCCTTTAGCACAACAATATAAACACGACACTGAGGAGGGAGTAAAAAAAAAAAATGCTCTTCTATCTCAGCCCAGTTCATATTACCTCTCCTTAAAAGAAAATTCCTTTCAAAAGCTTCTAGAATGAAAGCATTTGAGTATATATGGATCCAATTTAAGCAATTCTGCCTAGATCTAAAGGACACAGCTTTACTCTTCAAGTCTTACAAAGGGTTTACTTTTTAAAAAGCAATAGTATATTTTGATCCTTAGAGCATTATTTTGTAATCAGCACCTTCACACTTAATCAATTAACTTAGTGTTACCATGTATTTATGTAGGATAAAATTGTTATCACATTTAAGAGTATATGTAGAATAAAGGTGTACTGGCATTCAAGTGGCTACTTGGTATTTCCTGTTCTTTTTTTTAAATTTTTGAATTTTATTTTTTATTTTTTATATTAATTACAGTTTATTCACTTTATATCTCAGCTCTAGCCCCCTCCTACATTCCCTCCCATTCTCACCCTCCCTCCCTCATCTCCTCCCATACCCCTCTTCAAGTCCACTGATAGGGGTGGTCCTCCTCCCCTTCCATCTAACCCTAGCTTATCAGGTTTCATCAGGACTGGCTGCATTGTCCTCCTTGGTGGCCTGGCAAGGCTGCTCCCCCTCAGGAGTAGGTGGTCAAAGAACTAGCCACTGAGTTCATGTCGGTTCTTATTATTTTTTTCCTTTTTTATTTTATTAATTACAGTTTGTTCACTTTATATCCCAGCTGTATCCCTTCTCCCCCCATCCCTTCCCAAACCCACCCTCCCTTCCTCTTCTTCTCCTATGCCTCTCCCCCAGTCCATCTGACCATAGTCTCTCAGGTCCCATAAGTACTGGCTTCTGTGTCTTCCTCTGTGGACTGGTAAGTCTCCTCCCCCCTTAGGTGGAGGTGATCAAAGAGTCAGCCCATGAGTTCATGTCAGAGATGATCCTTGGTCCTATTATTGGGGAACCCTCTTGGATACTGAGCTGCCTTGGGCTACTTCTGGGCAGGGGTTCTATGTTATCTCCATGCACAGTCCTTGTTTGGAGTATCAGTCTCAGAAAAGACCTCTGGGCCCAGATTTTTTGGTTCTGTTGATCCTTTGTGGAGCTCCTGTCCCCTCCAGGTCTTACTATCTCTCCCTTCTTTCACAAGATTCCCTGCACTCTGCCCAAAGTTTGTCTATGCATCTCAGCATATGTTTTGATACTCTGATGGGTGAAGTCTTTTGTTCTTATTTTTTAATTTTTATTTTGTGTAGGCATTTCCCTACCCCCATCCCATTATTCATTGTACATGGGGAACTGGGTTAAGTGGGCCAATAGAAAAATTTCAAAAGCAAAATGACAAATTCAGATGAATCACAGGAGGTCATTTTGCATCCTTGTGACTTACCATGCTTTTTTAAATAAATAAATTAAAAAAAGGAAGTGTAAGCCACGTCCTTTTGTAACCATGGGAACTTCTCAAGAGAGAAAAATGGAAGGGCACCATCATGAGGAAAACAATTACATTGCATTAGTCTGAGGAGAGTGATTTTCCCCTTGACTTCCTCCTCTCCAAATGGATACACTTCTGAAGGGCAGCAGCCTTTTCTTCCTCTTAACCATAGTTTAATGTGACCCTGGTTTGTATCTCTAAAAACAAGCCGTCTTACGTTAGGTGTTAGAAATATATGTGCCTTTTCTCTGGTGAAAGCATTTCTGATTTGATAATCCTCTTTTTATTCTTGTACTTAAGAACGCTGAAGTTTGTCATCCTTATGTAAATAGTACAAGGACTTCCTAGGTTTCCTTTTTTAACAATTACAAATAAACACATTCCTGCAGGTCAGAGAGAGAGTGATAAAACTATATAGAGTTATGACTTTGGAAATGGTATGAGTGTTGGTTGGTTTGGAACTACTGTTTAGTGATTAGCTGGGATTTTCCCAGTTTCTGGAAGGTAAGACTAGTAACTAAGTAACTTGATCAACTTAGTTTTTTAAGAGATACAAAATCACTCCTAGTGGCCACACACATTTTCTACAAGTACTAGCTTTCTAAATGTTTCCCTTTAACCCTTCAAATGACAGTATTTTCTTTTTCTTTGAGACTTGATTTCTTAAAGAAAGAGACACTGATTAAGTGGTAGAGAGGTCATACATACCTGAAGAGATGGAAGCAAAGCAGGGGCAGCTGGCCTAAGGAAAGCAAGAAAGGATTTTGGTGCTTCTTGCTACACATGTTTCATGGAGGAGAGCCCTAAAGCCTTAAAAATAATTATGATAAATCAAAAGGAAATTAAATATTGGATCTCAGACTAGGGCTGCAACAACACACGGCTCTGACTCATATAGCAGCTGTTCTGCAAGTGGACCATTAACTGGGCATTTGAAGGAGGTTTTATTTTTTAATGTGTGGAAAATTCTCTTTAGTGAGTCAAGGATTCTGTATATTGACAGCTGTGTCGTTTGGCCTTACTAACATTGTCCAACGTTTGCTGAGCTTTTCACCATAGGCCTCAGTATGGGCCTCCAAATCCCAGCCCACCCCCTTTTATGAGATAAATTGGGACATGACTGATGCACGATCAGAATTCATAAATTATCCTCAAGCTTATTTAGTGCCTTACTTCAATGGAGCTTAAAACACAGCCCATAAATTTTATCTTATTTAGCCCCAGAGCATCACTAAGAAGAAACTAGAAACTATGTCTCTCCAGACAGATGGTGCTCATGCAAAGAGAAAAGGGAAGGCTTAAAATTGCTTTTCAGATATCTCAGATCATGGAATGGCAGTCTTTGTGCTTTGGGCTACTTACCTTTGGGTTCACTTGCACCTCTTAGATTTCCTCTGGCCTAATATGTTTATTCAACCAATATTTCTAAAATTACTTATTATTTGGTAGCTACCACTCTTGATATAAAATATCGTAATGACATTGTTATCATAATCATAATATTTTATCATAATAAAAAATACCATGATAGTTATATAATATTGACTCAGTTGCATCTTAAATTATAGAAGAATACATGATTGTTTAATTTAGTATCTTTAAAACCAGTGGCAGTGCCTTACTGGCTTGAAGAAAGATATTCTTGGAGTGTGCATTTTAAAAACAATCTATGTGGTTACTATGAGACTGATTTGGTTGTGATTTTTGTCTTTATGAAACAATGAGAATCATCATTTAAAGGACAATAAAACATTGGTTGGAAGTTTTCTGTTGCTCTCCCCTTTTTTTTTTCTTCTTCAAACAATTACGGTCTATTGTATATATGGATATTCAAGTTTGATTTAAAATATATTTGCTAGAAAACTATACAAGTCACTGCAACAAACTAAATTTCTTGCTTTGGGAAAGTGGGACTTGGATGCAGTATTTTTTTTTCTGTAGATAATGAGAGATTTGCAAGGTGGTCATTATGTTCCTTCTAGAATATATGTCAGCAGATGTAGTTTATTGCCTTTACAATACTGTTCCTGCTCAGGGAAAGAGATGCCTCTGAGGAAATTATCTACTGTAGTAGGGCTGGTCTCACAAAAGTGACAATGCACAAGACCATTGCTATTGAAGCAAAGAATCTCTATGTGCTGTCACTGTGCCTTAACAACACAATCAATTTATAGCCATTCATTCAGCACATAGTAACTGAGTATCCATTCTATTGAAATCCCCAAGTCAGCCATATTTCAGTAGACAATTTACAGTCTCTGCCTTCAGTGAGCTGTTTGGTTTAACAGGGGAGGGAGGCAGATATTGTAAATGGGTATAACTTTACTACTGAGTAGCATCTGATATGTAAGTACATTGGAGTGTGGTTTGGGACACAGGTCAAATTTACTCACCTCTCCTATGGTGGACATTATCAGTCCACCCTCTTCCAAGATCCAAGCAAATTACTTTGACAAGGATCTGTTTTGTTTCTAATTGCCTATGGCTCTCAAGATTCATACGTTCATGCCCTTGGGACTTCTTTGCCCATTCCGCTTTCAGTGAACTAATGTTCTGGTGATCCTGAGACAATAACCGAGTAGTTCAGGAGTCTTAGATTTTAATCACTTTGCCTGAATCCAAACCAACCTATAGACATACTATGAGGCTGATAATAAACCTGGTAAAGTACTGGTCACAAGGTTCT